AAAAAACTGGGCACTAGCCTGAGATAACTCCTTGACGCACCCCACATCTCCCGTCTTTTTGCTTCACTCATCCTAACAAGAATTCAAGTCTAAACAAGGGGACAAGAATGCTTCCATCGGAGAACCAAATTCAGGTAATCCTCTACCAGATTCTCCACATTTCTTCTTTGAAGACCCAACTTTCATTGCTAGCATGGCTAAAGCCCTCATACTGTCAATTATCAAGGGTGCTAAGCACTCATTCCACCCATCAGATCAACCGTATGGTGAGCGCATGATTTACGAAGACTACCGGCAACTCCCTTGACTAGGTCCTGGTATCGAGGGGGTGCAATAAACTACAACTGGAGCACACATTTCAGAGGTCAACCTTACCAACTATCCAGACCATTTGGAGGAAGAGGCAGAGCAACATCAACCTCAACCCAGTCGCTCCCCCAAGTCAAGTGAAGGAGCAGTCCCTCTTAGTTCCAGGAATGCCCATAAAACTTCCCTCGTTTAAAATGGTTTCAAAATAGTTCATAGGGGGAAGAATTGCTCCTTTTTTATCAGTTTTGGCAGGAAATGACAAGTGACCCCTGGGTATTAGAAACTCTCTTAGGTTACAGAATAGAGTTTGTACATTTTCCACGTTAGGAGTACCTGCCTTCACTATACATGACTGCCGAAGAGCAAGAGCTCATAGACCAAGAAATTTTTACCATTCAACAGAAACAAGCCATCGACAAGGTTTTCCATCTGGGCGGTCCAGATTAGTTCTTAAGCCCTTTGTTTATGGTCCCTAAAAGAGTGGGGGCCACAGACCAGTGGTGAACCTCCAAGGTGTAAACCACTTTGTAGAGTACAAACATTTCAAAATGGAAGGTGTACCAATGCTCAAAACTCTGCTAAAACCAAAGGATTTCTTGACCAAAACAGAACTAAAAGATGCCTACCTCACTGTTCCAGTTTGGAAACAACACCAGAAATTACTCCAGTTTATATGGCGGGACAATGTGAGAGTTTGCATCATTAAACAACAGCCATAATAACTTCAACATGATATTAATTCCAGGAGGACTCGGAAAAAAAAATCCGAGTCCCAGATGGGATTTGAACCCACGACCCTCCGTGATCTAGTCGGATGCTCTAACCACTTGAGCTACTGGAGACTCTATGGTGAGCAGGGGCCAATTTGTGAGTCTCGACTGGAACCGCATCACGCGGCTACACAGCCAAGTAATGATAGGCACACAAGAAGTGAAGAACTCACTAACAGCATCGCGCAGTCACCTTAAAGCATATCCAAGATGCGGCCAACCAACCTCCAAAGTGAGTATATTAAAGATAACTTCCACAGAAATTACATGACCAGGATATTTCTACAAATACACATTTTTTTGGATCAGACAAAATTGCCAATTTAATCTGAGGAGTGCCACACTAACCATGTGGCACATGATAATTAATTGATCTTTGCATCCCATGGGATGCATACCATGAATTATTTTGAGTCTCTGGGGATTTTTATGGGTTACAATTTGGTGTTTCAGAGCAAGAATGATGCTAATCCATAACAGGAAAAAAAACACTTAAGCATCATGGACACAGGATGCAGAAGTAACAGAATCACCAACTTCTCAAAAAAGGCCATCTGGAAAGAAGCGATTTGTAATGAATACAAGAATAGCAGTTGCAATGACCCAGAATACAGAATACATCCCTAAAAAGGACACAGACGATGTAAATGAAGATGAAGATGTAGATAAAGGCAAAAAGAGAAAACATCCTCCATGCCAAAGCAATGAAGAAGAAGAGCCTAAACTGAAAAAGAAACCACCCCCGGTGAAAGAAGGGGAAAGGAAGCTCACTAAAAAGCGTGACCACCATGTCAAACATCAATGCCCTGTCTGCCACAAAAAAATGCCAATCTAAGGCATCATCTTCAGATGCACACCCGCAGGGGACAAATAACACCAGACCTGGTGGGCACATTCCTGTCCGTTGCAATTAACAATAGTAGATGCCATGGGCTGTAAAGGAAAGTGAGAACTGGCAGATTGCTAAGGCTGTCGCTCAATTGCTGCCTAGTTGAGGGCTGCAGTAAAGTGACTTCATACATCCGAAGCCACCTAACCCATCATCACAGAGTTGAGCCTTGATTGACTTCATCAATCAGCAAAATAGGTAACAAATTGACCTCCCCTGACCTGACAAGACTGACTTTCCAGGAGCTGGAGAGAACTTTTCAATACAGAAAATCAAGCATCTAAGACAGAAACTTGGCCGAGTAGACTTTGAGTTTTTGTAGGATAAGCTTAAGACTAATGCAAAAACGTTTTGGTCATTTCATTCTCTCAAGTCAAGGACAAAAAGACTACGCAATATCTTTTTTTAAGTCAACAAAAACATTACGTAAACTTTACAACCTGAGGACCAAAAGACTACCCAAGATGATTTTTGCCAGTAAAGCTAACTCTGCAAAAGATCCTGTGGAAAAACGTCCTTTGTTCAATATTGTACAGCTCTCTTTTCTCTACTAATTCATCAGACTCTTCCAGTCTTAACCTTGCTTAAAATAAATTTAGCCACATTATAATAGCGCATAATACCACAAACACCTTGAGACCTTCAGCTCCCATCACTTCTTTCTAACTCTTAGGTCTTCCTTTAGTCTTTTACTCTGGTTTTAATTTGCCCATGCTGATAGAGGTAAAATTGTTCTAATAAATAATTATTACTTGTGCAGTTTGTCTTAATTTTGTCTTTATCTCGTAATTTGCAGCAATTTTTATTCTTTAACTTTATTACGCAAAAAAAATAACAAATGAATTATGTCAAATTTACCTTTCAGTTTATCTCTATGACACGGCAATATCCCGTGTTTGATGAACTTTCCAACCACATGTCCATAAGACTAACAAGATGCCAACAATAAAACCCCTGATGGTCCTTTTTTGACATTTGAAATTGGAGTAGCTGACAAATAGTGTTGGAAAATTACATTTGTTGTGATCAGTCAGAGAAGAAAATGCAATGTTTGTGCTCCACAAGTTAAGTTCAGTACAAAAACGTTGTGCCGAGACCAAGATTACAACTGTGGAACTGCGGTATCGGCCACAAGACAAAGAACAGAAGAATTCCACACCAGCAACAGAGGAATTTAAAGCTCAACTCAGGTGATTCAACATGAGCAACGCAGAGGATACAAACGCAAGCGAAGAGGAACAACACCTGGACAAAGACATTGTCAAGGAAACTAACGAGCCAAAGTACTTTTTGGAGGAAACAGACGAATTCATTAAAGTACAAGATTACACAGAAATTGAATTAATGGGCAAGAGACAAGCAGAAATGATCATTATTGGATCTTGTTCCACAAACAGGAGTTGAAAACTGATAGAAGTATAACCCCTCGAACTGTGAGACAGTGAGAAAAAGATGTTAGATCCAAGTACATCGCATTAGTAGAAAACAAGGAAAGGTTGACCAAATCCCTGAAAAACAAAGAAGAGCAAATTATCGAGGAAAGTGGATGGAGGAAAGACGACTCAATGTTAAAAAGACAAAGGGAAGATAAAAGGCAATTGATGATACAAATAGGAATACAAGCTAGGGTGTAATGATTCATATACCTTTTGATTAGATTTGATTATCCAAAATAAGTTTCAAATTAAGGCAGCAATCCTTGTTGAATTAACTCACAAAGTTTCACCGAGATAAGAGGGCTTCCCAGCTACTGAGCTGCATTAATTATCACAAAAGTACTTTGTTGCATTATTATTTTAACTTAATTAACCGTTAAAACCTTGTTAAAGTTCTAGTCTACAAAAAAATACAATTTTACAGTATTATATGCAAAGGGCAACTGCAACTAGCACATGGAAGATCTACTAAACCACTTTCACTGTCATTTGAAGATGTAGACATGTCTTTTGCGCCTAAAGTTAATTTGCTACAAGTTGAAGTAGTTTTGTTTGAATCAAAGGGAATGTCATCAACCGAGAAATCCTCATAGTTGCTATCTTTACACAATGGAAGAACTGCTGGTTGTGGCCATGTTGGTCTTTGCCTCAGCTTTCCCGTCTGATTTGTCTGTGACTTCTCTTGCTGCAATCATGATCACTCGTGTTTCTACGGTTTCTGTCGCTTGATTCCATTATTAA